AACGAAATGATCCTTTAATTTTTGAGATGGTACCCTCTTCCTTTTACTCCCACTTTTCTCAGCCTGTGAACCTTGTTCACCTTGGTCATCTATCATTTTCTAATCAATAATGTTATCAACAAGACTTGTAACATCATCATTTAACAATTTGATCTATTCAATGGGAGTTATTTGATTGGTAGACTCAATAAAAACAACATCCCTACTTTCAATCAATCATTTATCCGAATGAAAGAATCTATATCCACTTCCATTCTCAACATATCCTATGAACTTGCATTCCCACGTCTTTGTTCCTAGCTTATTCCTGAGAGGCTATGGAATAAGTACATGTGTCTCACACCCCCAAACTTTAAAATTAGATATGTCAGGTTTTGTTCCAGTCCAATATTCATAAGGAGTTTGAGATTTAGCCTTTGTCTTGACTCTATTTAAAATATAAGTTGCAGTAGATAAGCCATAATTGACCTTGTCATATCCAATAGAGTTCTATTACCTCTTTCTGCAATGCCATTTTGTTCAAGTGTGTATGGCATGGTATATAAATGTCGTATACCATTCTCTTTACAGAATTCTTCAAAAGCTTCATATTCACCACCCCTATCATTATTCAAAGTTTTAATTGGTCTTCCCAACTGTATTTCTACTTCCTTTTTATATTTTTTGAATCTATCAAGTGCATCAGACTTATATTTGATTAAGTAGATATGACCAAACCTTGAATAATCATCAGTAAAGGTTACAAAATATTTCATTCTTCTATGTGTTTTTGTTCTTAAAGGTCTGAATGGACAACCTCCAATAAATCCAAAGACTTTCAATATTTGTTAAAAGATTTTCTGGTCATCGTGCCTTTAACGCATGACTCACAAGTATCAAAATCTTTTGTATTCATTTGAGGTATAAGGCCTAATTTACTCATTCTGAGCATCTTGTCCTATTGATGTGACCTAATCTTAAATGTCATAGATAGGAATTATTTTCACTAGTTGAAACATTCATGTACTCAAAATAAGAAATTTTATTACTGTGGATAAGGTACATATCTTCAACCCTTGAACCCTTTACAATGGCATCATCATCCTTTCGAATGTAAAGAAATCCTGACTTGAAGCTTACATCATAACCCCTTTTATCCAATACAGACACCGATATAAGGTTCCTTCTAACATTAGGTGCATACAACACATTCTTAAGAATCAAGACTAACAACTCACACTCCACTTTGCAAGTTCCTTCTCCTAGGACATCAAAATATGTATTATTTCTCATGTAAATACGATACTCACCTGGTGCCTTTTTCATTGATTTCTGAGAAGCTCCCTTTGTCCCTTGTAATGTGTCTAGTTGCACGAAAGTCGATCCACCATTGTTCTTTTGAATCTTCAAGTAGCATCGCTTCAGAAATAGTCATAACTGCTTCCTTTTGTTTGCCCTTTTGCTTGTTCGGACACTTTGCTTTGAAATGCCCTTTTTGTCCACAAACGAAGCACGCCCCTTTGCTTTTGTTATTGAACTTTCTGAATTTGAACCACTGTTTTCCATTTTTCTTCCACTTCCTTTGTTTTTTGTGTTGCACTTCCGGTTTTGATCCAGATGTCTCAGCAATCAACAATTTTCCACTATCAGTGTCTTTTATCTTTCTATTCTTTTGTTCCTCCTCAAGTGCCAATAATGCTGGTAATGTGATCATAGTTAAATCTTTTCCTCCATAGGTCAAAGAAGTAACCACATGATTCCATGAATCTGGTAGGCCATTAAGAATAGTGGTCACTTGTATCTTATCAGTAAGTGGATGTCCAACAGTTGATAAATCTTTTGCCAGTAATTCCATTTGAAGTATATAATCCACCACTTTATCGCCCTCGGACATATGTATCCCATTAAACTTATCTAATAGTAATTGTATATGCGTATCAGATACAAGACCATACTTTGTCTTGAGTACATCCATAATTTTCTTAGCAGTTTTAAAATCTTTATTAAGGGGAATTAAATCATCTTGCATGCTAAATAGAATTAAGGCTCGGGCTAGATCATTATCTTCTTCCCACTAACTTATTTGTTTAGCAATTATGGGATCTATAACATTTTCTTTGGGCTTTGTTGTATAGGTTTTCTCATGTGTGAGCACGTAAATGATTTTACGCTTCTACATACGATAATTTATACCGTTCAATTTTTCTACCTTAAAAATATCAGCACCTCCTTTACTAGCCATGAGAAAATTTAATAATACTACCAACTGCTATAACTGTGAAGAATGTTTAATGCAACACTGCATACTAGTAACAAAAATAATACTAAACACCACCACTACTTTATTTGAAAGTAAAAAAAAATTGAAAATATAACTTATCTCTCTAGAAATCGACTAGAGTAATATTGATTCAAATATCCACGTCGATAAGTCTTCTTGTTGTATGGAGAAATATGCTTTTCTTTTGGCTTGGCAAAAATAATCTGACTCCTAAAACTATTAAAGAATTGTGTAGTAGAGCCTCCCTTTACAAGTTCTCTAGAGATCCTTAGAGATCGTGACCCATTAATTTTATGATTAGAATTTATCTCTAAAGTGACCAAATCTAGAAATGTGAAATTAACGCACTTGTCGAAAGGATGGCGCCAATAACAATGTATCCGAGGTTTTAATAATGGCTTCTTTAACACAGGAGCGTTTTGAACCAAAGACTGACTTTTTTCAAAATCACCAAAAACTCGATTCTAAACTGTAATTTGATAACACTCGTAAAATGGTTCCATTCGTCGGAATTTGAATGGACTAAATCGAAGTCCGATTGAAAAACATATGGCCTTTCAAAATATACTAATTCAGTTTGAACCGATTCAAAATTAAACCGGTTTGGAAAAGGGTCCAAACGATTGGAGTGGGCTGGTCCAGCGGGTAGGCTTGAATTAAATCAGGAGGCTGCAAGCAAGGGGCTAGATTGGGCTTGGACAAAAATTGGGCCTGAATTAAATGAAGAGAATCTCCTTGGGCTTGAATTAAATAAGACCTTGGGCTTGAAGACAGTGGGCTTGGATTAAATGAAGACAATTGCCTTTGTAACAGGAGTCGTCTTCTTCGTTGAGACCACTAGCCGGCGAAATGAAGTTCCAGAGAATTACAAAATCCGACGAAGAGCTTTTTCTCTTTAATCCTTGGGTATTTTCACCCAAAATTTTACCAATATGATCCTTGCACAATCCTCTTCTACGTAGTCTCAACCAATATCGAATATATTTAAATTTTGATCCGCACAATTTTTTTTGGAAAATCCGTATTCGTCATAAAACCTTGCTCTGATACCACTGATGGTCCCGGATGTAATACAAGCGGTGGCCAATTGTCATTAGTCTGTTGATCGCGTGCACTCAGAGAAAAAGCAGATATGTCGATTCAACGATTTGATCAGAAATTTTTATGGATATTTTAGATAAAGTCTTTCAAGATCAAAAATGTATTTATAGACTTCCAATGGTTGTCAATATGCCCGTTGTTGACTCAAATCACCACCAACGATTGTAGCCGTTGTCGAGCGTAACCACCGCCGTCAACCGCTTCCTCTCTTATCCGTACACGAAAAAACACTTAACGATTAATCTCCATGAGTTCAATGACTTACAATAAAAAAGGAACGGAAGTGTTCCCAGCTTATCCCTCCGAAGTTGAACTCATCGGGGCTCAAAACTGAGAGGATAAGTTTAACTATTGAGTGGACACGCCGTCCACTCGAGTGCTCAACTTAGACTTGACAACCTAAGGAATGCAATAAGTGCTCCCCGACATACCTCATTAATGCTCAATAAGGGGACAAAGTCAGGGCTGGATGATCGGGAGAGGCTAAGCATTTATGACTATCTACCCTCATAGGCATCAAGTCATCCCGAACATACGTTAAATACTCGCAGCCTGTAGCCGAGTATTTGAGGCTACCTGCCAAGCATTTAATTGGATGCACCCGCGGGTTATTCGCCACCAATAAGGGCCATCGGCTCCATGAGAGTCTCTTGTTGATGCGGTGACAATAATTATTTGTCACATCAATACTATGCACGAGGTGCACGTCCCAATGACAATTAATCCTCGGGGGCAGCTGTTCACATTGGTCCCCTTCGTGCATTTACTCTGCCCGATGGTTGCGACCTCCTCAGCTTCGGCTCAGGGGAGCTTGGGAGACAAAATTCCTTGCTAAGATATGCCACGTGTTGTCTTGCGATTGGCAAGCCATCCACATCCCGTCAAGAAATTAGAGAGAAACCGTACTTTGATTAAAAAAACCTGTTGGTCCAAGAATATGGCCAAACAGAACCATATATACTTTTGAATTTGATTAGAAATGCTTTGCTTATTGCCTACTCCAAGAATCTGCCTAATCAGTTAGCAATTGTTTTTTGGTCACTCAGTTAGCAATATAAAAAACGGTGAAATAATGTTGTCAATAGTGAGCTTTAATTGCAGCTAAACAAAAAATTTTGAATGACCCGGGTATGTTTAATTGGAGAAATAAGGGGATGTGTGGACGAAGGATGCATTCTTTTCCATTTCACATGAATAAATATGAAAACTTGTAATCTAGCAACAGAAAACAAGAGTGTAAAGGCAGAGACGGAGAGGAAAACATGAAGAAATGTAAGATTTTTACCCTGGCGATGGCACTTGCTCCTAAGACTGTATTTCCATCTCCAACACAAAAGTAGATCATAAAATTTGTATTTTTTTAAGAAAAGATTATGGATGAAGAACACAATGGGAGATCAGTTAGTGAGACTGCATTCCACTAGGACCACTCCAAACAGGCCATAAAATTCTATTAGGCCATTTTAAACTGCTTGATTAACTTTACATACTATCTCTGAAGCTGCATCTGATTTTCATTTAACCCACTATCTTGTGGAAAGATGGCGAGACAGCAACTGTACCTTTTTTGTTTCTGTATTCATTCATGCATATTACCCTTTGATGTACTCATATGAGGTATTTCATGGAAATCAAAAGAATGTTAACACGTTTTCATTTACTTTGGGGTGTGTGTGAGATCAACCAGACATTTGATGCATACGTTGGTGGCAAAGAAAATGCCTCTGGCATTGTTGTGGTTCAGGAGTGGTGGGGTATTGATTTCGAGGTCAAGAACCACGCTCTGAAAATTGCCCAGTTTGATCCTGGCTATAAAGCACTTATACCTGAGTAAGATATCATTACTTGCTACAAATTTAATTAGACATCTTTTGGACTTAAAGATTGAGGGTAACAGTTTTGGCTGTTTTTGATTTTCTCTTCTTACTTTCAGCTTGTATCGTGGAAAGGTTGGTTTAGATGCTACAGAAGCACAGCTTATGATGGATGGTCTTGACTGGCAAGGTGCTGTGAAGGACATTCAGGCTTCAGTTAACTGGCTCAAGGCTAATGGTTCACAGAAGGTGTATTTTTTTTTGTTCGATGATGTATTTCTCACTTGTTGCCATGGACATGTTGACTAGATTACTCTGTTCTACAAACGAATTGTATCAAACCCAAGTTTTCTTGTATAACACTTCACATTGCTTTGAAGTTCGAACAATAATAGACCTTGTATTTACTTCAATATGGATGTCTTCACGATGTTGTTTTTAACCTCTTTTTGGTTATTTCTTAATCTTCTATTGTCTTTTATTTTTATTTCTTTGTATTTTGAGTTTTTTTTCTTATATATTCTTGAGATTTGATTTTGTTTATCTTAAGGTTTACCTCTCATGGAGAAACAAGTGCGAGTTCTTTGCCTGTTGCATTTTTAGATCATAACAATGACTTTTTGAAGGCATAGTTGACAAATTAGCAAGGTTGGAAGAATAAGCTCTGTGGCACATTTTTTAGTGCATTACTTTCCATTCAAATTCAGTTTTATTTAATGGTTAATTCTAACAAGCTTACATGTTAATGCAAAGCCCTTACAACGCGAATAGAAGTAAGGTGATATCTTAGGATTTTAACCTCCGTACTTTCATATTTCGTCAAATACTTTACCAAATAAATCCATTCTTGACATAAGGGTACATTGATAAAGTGTTACAGAGTTATGAAATGACTTGATTTTGGCCATTCATTGTCTTATAATATATGTACCTTTTTCCAACAGGTGGGGGTAGCAGGATTCTTGCATGGTTAGTGCTCTCGCCATTGCAAGTTCTGTTTTGGTCCCTGGGGTTGACGCTGTTGCAGCCTTCTGTGGAGTTCCTTCATCAGAGCTTGCAGATCCTATCCATGCTAAGGCACCTGTGCAGGCCCATTTTGGGGAGCGTGACAATTTGGAAGGCTTTTCAGATGTGAAGGTATTAGTTGAATAATTCTTGTTAACTTTCAGTATCACTATCAAAATGTTGTCTTTCATCATGTTGCATTATATTTTTTGGAGCTTAATTTCCTTGGCTTTTGACGAATTATGATACTGTGTGGCCCTTGTCTTATAGCAAAGGTTGAAAATTCTGCACATCGGATAGTCTCGGAATGATGTGAGAAAGTTGCGAGCATTGTTTGGAGATCTAAGTTCGCAAGTGGGGAACAGTCTCAAGGTCGAGAGTGACAGAGATTCCTTGTTTGAAAGCAATATGAAAAACAAAAAAACTGTTGCATGTTGCTGCAAATATAACTTTATAAAATAAGGACATTAAAACTTCACTAGTCTGCCTGCACAAAATAAAGTACTGCAAACTTGGCAAGGGTCATATGGATTGCAGTTGCAATTTGGTAATCATTTGGTGCAGTGTTATTTTTGGTTGATGTGCCGGAAGCAGCAAGTTTAAGCTTTCAGGGCTTTATGGGAACCATGATTAGATTGCCATGAGATCGAATTAGAGGTGCTGGATCCAGAAGTTCATCAGCTGCATCTATTTGCACTGTGACCCGCCTTTATACAAACAGGTAACACGGATGAATTTGCTTTCTGAAACCATAACTAGCTGCAAACATGCCTCTCAGTCTCAGCGTCTGACATGAACTTTCTGCAAACTATAATTAGATTACCGTTGGGTCAAATGAGATGTCGTGAATACAAAAGTCTGCCTCTGTGTAGGCAAGCTACACAAATTCCTCGTATGTGTTTTTCAATCTCCGCCACGATGTTTGTGGACCATCAAAACGAAATAGAAAACCGCCATCCATTCACCTACTTCATCTAAACACCTGTTCCTGCTCCTAGTTGACTAGGATTAACCATTTTTTTTATAGCAACCAGGATTAACCATCACCAATCTGTTTGTGGAGTTTCTAGTATTAAACAAAAGATTCCCAAACGGTGGCCTACTTCCTTCTGAAAATGCTCCTATGGGGTACAAACACCACTTCACTATTTTCTGGTTCGAACTTGAGAGACCTTCCACAAAAAAAAAAAAAAAAATCCATGTAATCTATTTGTGATGTAAAATCGCTTCTTGTGAGTGTTAACCTAGCCAGCCATGCTTTGCAATCTTCATTGTGTGGTTAAAAATGGTGGCCGACTTCAAGGAAGGTTCTTATGATGTAGAATATATGCTAGTTTAGGCACCAAGATTGAAATTTACCCTGTTATATATGTTTATAGAACCGAATGTATGGGATAAGTGAATGAATTGGTCTGTAAATAAAGGAAGCTCTGCTCAGTAATTCATTCGAGTCTGTATATGCATGCATGTTTGTGTATTGATTTGGCTATCAAACTTTGGCATTTCAGACTGCTAAAGCTTTAGAGGAAAAGCTGAAGGCATCAGGGGTTCCTTATGAGGTATACTTGTATCCAGAGACTGGACATGCCTTTATGAACAAATCTCCCGAAGGTGTTAAGAGGAGAAAAGGTATGGGAATGGATGACGCTGTGGTCGAGTTAGCATGGTCTCGCTTCCGTTCATGGATGAGTCGCTTCTTATCTCCTTAAGCAGAGTATGTATACTGCCATCACATGGTAGCTTGATATAATAAGATGGTATGGTAAACGGAGGCACTGGAGGGCTGCACTATGCTATTGATGCTATTGTTATACTTTTAGTATGTGTGGATGCAATTTGGAAAATCACTATTATGTTGAGTTGAATTGAGCATATAGACTGGTGATTTTTCATCTTTTGCACATTGATTAATTACACTTCTTTCCCCTGAAGGTTCACTTGATTCTCCACTTTGGTCCTTAAGGTTCTTTTTTCCCCAATTTCACTCTTCTACTTTCAACATGTTTCAATTCAGTCCAATCAGTGACTTGTATCAAGTCGATGATGGCATGTGTGCGTCACATGATGCACATGTCTTTCTGTGATAAATTAACTACCTTTATTGATTGGGCCGAATCAATATCATGTCAAAAGTTAGAGGAGGAAATTTAGAAAAAAAAAAAGTTGTAAGGTCCATAGTGAAAATCAATGCACAAGCTGAGTGTGAAAACAACTATAATTAACCATTTTTTTTCATCTACTATATTATCCTAGCAGAAAGTATACAATACATGGATTCTGACATGCAATGATTTTAGTGGTGCTAGCAGTGAACCTTGACCTTCCTTAATGTTGTACAAGTTATGCAGCCATGATCCAAATTATTAGGTTGCTTAAATCTTTTATATTAAATGGAAAAGTGAATTCAAAAAATAATAAGCAAACACGAAAAACGATTGGACTTTAAAAGTTACTAAATTTCACACAAAAGATGATATAAATACCAAAAAAAAAAGTGAAAAGTGGTGATAAATGGTATGGTATCAATTTATTTTTGGTATCATAGTCAAACCCTACAATGAGAAGAAAAGCTTTGGGAGCACTGTCAAGAATCTGTGGGCATTATGTATTTTAGTTATGTACCATCTTTTAGGTGAATCTTATTTTAAATAAATAATTTGTACATACATGTGCAAAATGATATTATTGTACTTATGATTAAGCTTAGAGGAAGGAATCAAGTCCATACCAAGAAAAAAAACACAAAAAGGTAAAAATGCAAAAACAATCACTTTCCATTACTCAATAGGCCAATTCTTCGCACATAATTAAAGGAGTCATTGAAAGGTGACTAAAACACTAAAAACAGAGACTATCTGAGTTAATGATAAAGGCAAAAACACTTTTCAATCAGTCCTTTCTATAACCAACCTCACATATTCAACTCAATCTTTTATACCGATATATCGTACTTTCTCGATAAGGTTATCGTAAGAAAATATTGTTAAATCTTTTTCAAAGTGAGAGAAGGCGTGATACAACTAACATGACAACCAGCTGAAAAACGTTAGTTAGCTAGGCTAGCACGCAATGACTTTTTATGATAGGGGCTCACTTCTTCAAGCTTCGCCCAACCTATACAAGATAAGGTGTTGCTCGCTTTCTCTCAGCCACTAGTGGCTTATGTAGTGGTTGGCATTTACTACTTTTCTAGTTACTAGCAATGCATCACATGCGTTGCACGTAAATAATTTTTGTATGCAAAATATTAATATTATGTATATGTGGCTTATCCAGTTTCAAAGGGGTGTTTGAGAGAGAGAAAAAGGGAAAGAAAAAGAGAGAAGATAAAAGGTTTTCAAACTGGTTGGGGAGAAAGAAGCTAAAAAGTTTTTCAACTAGTTTGTATGGCGATCGAAGGATTTTATATTCGTTTTCTGAGAAAGAGAACTTGTTCAAAAACAATATTAAACAAAAGAAGATTAAGAGACAAAATGATATCGTTGTCCACTTAGTTTTTCTAATGACAGACAATCATTTAGTGGAGAATAGAAAAATGTGGGAAAGTATATTACTATGTTATAAATCATAGTTACTATATAGTGGAAAAGTCATGACTATCTGTCTACCTAATTTTCTTAATTATAAATAATAATTAATATTAATGTACATATTATTCTAATTTTTTTATCTGATTTGTACTTATAATTGTGATTTATAGTTGTCTTATTATATAGTTCCTAATTGAAATCTATGATTTTTGGTCCCTGAAATATTCAATTATTGTCTAAATAGTCTCTAACCTGACGGTCCATTAAGTTTTTTAAAAGAAGTAACTACGTGTTATTCCGTCAGACAGCATCACATAAACTAGTACGTGATCACTTTGTCAAACATTTAACAAGCGGTCCGTATTTGGATCATTTAAACATTAACTAAAGACTTTAATGACCAAATTGATACAATAAAGACCAAACTGTCAAAGCATACATATTTTAGGGACTAAAAATGTTATTAACCCTAAATTATAATATATTACTCTATAATATATATTTTAAAAGAATATTAATATTTTAATATTTAAGTTTTACTTAAAAATACACTATAATTTTTTTTATATAAACTCTTAATAAAGCATAAAAATGCTACATTGATTGAAGAATTATGTTGATTTAACATAAATTATTTTTAAAAATACATAAAAGATTATTTTTTATCTTAAAAATAAAATGGTTGAAATTTTGGATGAAAAAATACACATATGTAAGTATAATGTTATCTTTATATTTGAAAAGAGTAATATTATTGATAAGTCCAAAAGTAACTGAGCTAGGCCCAATTAATCAATAGAGGTCCACATCACCTCGGAACCTAAGTCAACAAGTCAAGGAGGAATCCAAATTAAGGAGAAGCAAAGGTCCAAGGGAGACACCCTGAAGGGGACACCCTAAGGGGCGCCACCCAAGGGGGGCTACCTAAAGGACGCCACCCAAGGGAGGCCACCCCAAGAAGATCATCTCCCTCCTTTATCCCATGCTCTCTCTTTTGCGCAATCTCATGGAGTACTTCACCCTCGTGACTCTCTGACTCTAACTCAAGTCCAACCTAGCTCAAGATCTTCTTCCGACGAAATAGGAACACGAGAGAGGGAATATCGAGATACAATCGGAGATCTAATCTTACCTTATTTGTACTTACCAAAATAGTAGAAGTCTTCTCCCTCACGTCACCGCATCACCACCTTGTCAAAGCCTATTTAATGAAAGATATCTCCACATAAAGGGCATCACCTAAAAACCTCTACACACCTCTCTATACACATTGCTTTTTTCTCTCAAAACATTGTAATTCTTTCGAAAAATACTCTCCCGGTAACTTTTATTCATCAATAAAGATCTTCGGCCACTTCTACCGTTTCTCAAAGTAGAGTAGGTCATCCGAACCGAATCACTATATATTTTGGTGTTGACTTATTATTCACTGTGTTGTCATTCATTATCTGTTTACTGCTTATTAATTGCACCTTTACATATACTCAATTGTTGATTTTGTACAATACCGATTTGTGCATCATCAATTATATTGATGAAAATTTTGAAGATTTTTTGAATGTTGTATTGAAAATTATAGTAATGCATATATTTTTTAAAAGTAATGTAATCAATTAAAAAGTTTCATAGATACTGATATTTATACATAATAAATAGATAATTAAAAGAGATGTTAGGGATAATTTGGAGATTGAAACACATAAATATATGATGGTAATTTAGATATTCAACTATAGAATGATAGTGTGATTTTTATAATTTTTTAATAGTGAATTAAAAATTTTCCATCCTAAGGCAAAAGTTTTATTCTTTAATTGTAGTATAGATAGAAAAAATACGTATATATATAATGTTATCATATTTGAAAAGAGTAATAAAATATTGATGGAGGTTTTTAGCACTTTATTGAAATCTATAATGATGCATATGTTTTTTTTAGGATAACGAAGTTAATTAAAAATTTTCACATATATTGATATTTATATAAAGATAATAGAGAATTAAAAGAGATGTTAGAGGGTAATTTGAAAATTTTAATACATAAGGATGTAATTGTAATTTAGATATTTGATTATAAAAAGATAATATGATATTTAAAATTGTTTATGAGGGTAGAATAGTAAATCAAAATTTTTTTACTTAAGGTGCTTTTATTAGTAATATAAATTATAAACGAGATGATATATCAAGTAAAATTAGTTTGTTCGACTAAATAAAACAGATGTCCAGTTTTTCAACTTTGGACATGGTCTAGAGTCGAGTCCAGTCAATTGTATAGTCGCTCTCCTGCATTCTCTTTACGAATATGTTAGATCCATCATTGTGTATACTCTTTAAAAAAAATCGTTGTATATTAAAAAATAAAAAATAGGGGATGCATTCGGTACTAAAAAAAAAAAATCAATTTTGCCATATGATAGAGCACTGAGGTCATGCAATTGGGCTTCTTATTTTCTGAAATAGTCTTTTCGGTAAACTAAGTTGGCTAACCCAAGAAAAAAAAAATCATTTCTTTTAAAAAGTATTCATTGTTGTTATTAATAATACAACACTATTTAATTATTCTTATTATTTTTGTTATTGAATGAAAATTGTACCATCAAATATGTTATTTTATTATATTTAATAATTGATTAATTATATATTATTTATGATTAAATATTTAGAATCTTTCATTTTTTAATTTGATATTTTTTTCTATTTGTTTGATTTATTTTAAATAATAATAAATAAGATAAGTGAAACAAACATCATAGGAAGGATCATAGTTGATAAACAGATATTTGATAAAGATTGAATAGTCAAAATTAAGATATGAATATTTGAAAATAAGACATCAATATAATCCTTATGAGAGTCCAAGTTAGTAGAAACTCATTTAGAGTTGGATTAGGAATGTATTCTAAAAGATATTGATACATCCCCAATATTTTGGTCATAATTTTTTATTTTGATGTCCAATTTACCTGATTTTTGCAGACATTTCAAGAGTTAAAAAAATATATTTTATAAAAATTTCATAAATCAAGTTCTAACTATGCGAAAATTGAGCTTACAATTTGGGTAGGGACGATACTCGTGCAGCCCAAAATTTGATTTTTGAAGAAAAACTAGATAGTATAATTATATACTAATTATAATTTTTTAAGAAAAAATAGATTTTTATTTTAATAAATGTCATAATAGAATATAAATTTTAGTTGTAAAATTTAAAATATTTAATATTCTTCATTTGATTGAAGTATTTTTTGTCTAAGTATAACATTTTAAACTTAAAGAGTCTAAATATTACATACCTATAAACTTCAAGGGGTCTAGGTATAATTCACTAACGGACATTGACAATAAAGATCTAAGTGTTATGCTTATACAAATATCAGGGAATCTGTATATAATATTTCAAGTCAAGGGGTCTACGTATAATTCTCCTTAATTTTTTACTCTGATCTCCTAGTTTTTGTGGCATTGGAAATAATACTTCAAGAACTATAAAAATATATTTCACCAAAATTTCATAAATCAACCTCTAGCTATGTAAAAAATGAGCACAATTTGGGCAGATACGTTACTCGCGCGCTCCAAGATTTGATGCATGCATTTTGATCTAAATGAATAATACTAGAGTGACCAAATTTAGAGTATAAATCACGTGACAATTGATTTGGACTTCTTTGTTTGGTGTCATGTCATTTGGACCCTAATAAAAATTTCAAATAATCAACTGTCATGTCATTTAGACTTTAAATTTAATCTTAAAATTTGGTCAATCTAGCATTACACTTCACAAATACTTGTTCAAAGGCCAATCCTAACGTCCGTAGCATAAATATAGGTTCTTTCTTTGAGAGGGGGATAACTTCAGATCTTATATTCTATATTTTTCTTTATTTTTTTTTAATGTCTATGAATTGCTAAATCCAACTAAAAATAGGGGGAGATACTTTTAATAAAGTATGATATTAAATGCCTCTCACATCTAATGCTTGAAATTTCATGCGATTCAAATAATTGATTTTATATTATTTAATTAGACTTTTTATAAAATAGTTGATTTCTTATTTGTGATATAAATTTATGGTTTATTTGTTGGAAAGTTAAATTTATAGTAAACTCTGAACACGGTAAATTTTTGTGACCTATAAGTAAATTTTAATATTTATTCAAATGATTTATGAATTATACTTTTGAATGTTTTCAATATTATCACTATTAAATATTATGATTAGAATTACTACTTAGTTAAATATTAATTGAGTTTGAAAACTGAATTATAAATAATTGTCATGTGAAATTAAAAGGTATTCTTGATCTTTTAGTATTTTTTCATATTATTTTAAAACTAAAATTTGTTATTTTCAAACTCAACTTTGTCGAATAATTTCAAATAAATTTTATTATTATTTTTCTTTGCATTCCAAATATTCATAATATTCTGTGGTTCAATCCCAGACTTCAAAAAAAATTATATTATTTCGCAATAACCCGCACTTAATGAATTATAAAGTTATAGCATCAAGAAAGGTAATGTATCCACATCACCAAGTTACTTAAACGACACCGTATGATGCCAAGGGTTCTTTCATCAACGTTAGAAAAAGACTTATCCTCTGCAGTTATAAAACCTTTAGCTGGTACAGTGAGTGGAAGCTATGGTGTCCTATTCTTCCAGAATCTTTACCAGAACTTTCCCCAAGTCCACAGCGTTCGGCCTCGCACGAACGCTTTCTCCCTTCTCCACCGGTTCTCGACTTAATCAAATTCGTTCCATGTCGGATTCTACCCAGTTCAAGAAAATTCAGATTCAGAGAGACGACAATGTGAGTCTAATTTGTTCTTCCCTTTCATTTCTCATCTTTTGCTTCTTTTCTGTTCTTATTCAAGCTTACCGCATGTGATTTGTTGTTATTTTCGAGATAATGAGACAACAGCATCATGGGTTTGTTTTGATTGTCTATGGGAGACAGTTTTAAGAGAGAGAGAGAATCTGTGACACTGTGCGTGTGTGTGTGATTAGATTTTGGAGAGAGAGACTGTACTTTGATTAAAAAGAAGCTGTTGGTCCAAGAATATGGCCCAAACAGAACCATATATACTTTTGAATTTGATTAGAAATGCGTTGCTTATGGCCTACTCCAAGAATTGGCCTAATCAGTTAGCAATTTGTTTTTGGTCACTCAGTTAGCAAAATTAAAAAATGTGATATAATGTTGTCAATAGTGAGCTTTAATTGCAGCTAAACTATATTAAGATATGATGATATGATCCAACAGATCTATCATCATATCTTAAACAACTAAATTTCGGGGATGTCTAATTGGAGAAATAAGGGGAAGTGTGGATGAAGGATGCATTCTTTTCCATTTCACATGAATAAATATGATATCTTGAAATGTAGTGACAGAAAACAAGAGTGTAAAGGCAGGGACACGAAGAAATGTAAGATTTTTGCCCTGGCGGTTGAAAGGATTGGTGTGTGTTGGCTGATGGCACTCGCTCCTATGAGTGTATTTCCATCTCCAACTCAAAAGTGGATCATAAAATTGTATTTTTTTTAAAAAAGGTCATGTATGAAGAACACAATGGGCAATCAGTTATCAAGACTGCATTCCACTAGGACCACTCCAAACTGGCCATAAAATTTACACACTATCTCTTGAGCATCCTTGGTGGGATGAATAATTTTCATTAAACCACTATCTTGTTGAAAAATGGTGTGACACCAACTGCACCTTTTTGTATGAGATATTTCATGGAAATCAAAAGAATGTTAACATTTTATTTATTTATTTTGGGGGTGTGGGTGGGATCAACCAGACATTTGATGCATACGTTGTTGGCAAAGAAAATGCCCCTGGCATTGTTGTGCTTCAGGAGTGGTGGGGTGTTGATTTCGAGGTCAAGAATCACGCTTTGAAAATTTCCCAGTTTGATCCTGGCTATAAAGCACTTATACCTGAGTAAGATATCATTACTTGCTACACATTGAATTGGACATCTTTTGGACTTACAGATTAATGGTAACAGTTTTGGCTGTTTTGATTTTTTCTTTTTACTTTCAGCTTGTATCGTGGAAAGGTTGGTTTAGATGTTGCAGAAGCACAGCATTTGATGGATGGTCTTGACTGGCAAGGTGCTGTGAAGGACATTCAGGCTTCAGTTAACTGGCTCAAGGCTAATGGTTCACAGAAGGTGGATTTTTTTTGTGTGTGGTGATGTATTTCCCACTTGTTGCCGTGGACATGTTAACTCATAAGAAGTTTGAACATGTTGACTAGATTACTCTGTTCTACAAACGAATTTTATCAAACCAAGTTTTCTTGTATGACGCGTCAATTTGCTTTCAAGTTCGAATAATAATAGACCTTGTATTTACTTCAATATGGATGCCTTCATGATGCTGCTTTTAACCTCATTTTGGTTATTTCTTAATCTTCTATTGTCTTTTATTTTTATTTCTTGGTATTTTGAGTTATTTTTCTTATATATTCTTGAGATTTGAATTTTTATATCTTGAGGTTTACCTCTCATGGAGAAACAAAGTGCAAGCTCTTTGCCTGTTGCATTTTAAATTTTGCACTGCTTCATTTGTAGCTCATAGCTTTGACTTTTTGAAGGCATAGTCGACAAATTAGCAAGGTCGGAAGAATAAACTATGTTACAAATTTTTAGTGCGTTATTTTCCAGTCAAATTCAATTTTATTTAATGGTTAATTCTAGCAAGCTTACATGTTAATGCAAAGCCCTTACAGCACAAATAGAAGTAAGGTGATCTCTTAGAATTTTAACCTCTTTACTTTCTTACTTTATCAAATACTTCAACAAATAATTCCATGCTTGACATAAGGGTACATTGATAAAGTGTTAAGAGTTATAAATGACTTGGTTTTGGCCATTCATTGTCTTATAATACATGTACCTTTGTTCAAACAGGTGGGTGTTACAGGATTCTGCATGGGTGGTGCTCTCGCCATTGCAAGTTCTGTTTTGGTTCCTGGGGTTGACGCTGTTGCAGCCTTCTATGGAATTCCTTCATCAGAGCTTGCAGATCCTACCCATGCTAAGGCACCTGTGCAGGCCCAGTTTGGGGAGCGTGATAATTTTGTAGGCTTTTCAGATGTGAAGGTATTAGTTGAATAATTCTTGTTAACTTTCAGTATCACTATTAAAATTGTCTTTCATCATGTTGCATTATATTTTTTGTCTCTTAATTTCCTTGGCTTTTGTCATTTGAGATGCCCATAGCTAAGAATTATGATAATGTGTGGTTATGCCACAAACTGCATACGAAGTGGCCCTTGTTTTAATAGCAAATCGGATAGTCTCGGAATGATATGAGAAAGTTGTGAGCATTGTTTGGAGATCTAAGTTCACAAGTAGGGAAACACAGTCTCAAGGTCGAAGGTGAGTTGGCCGATATTGATATGAGTCGGCCGAGTGGTATCGATTCAGCACTTTTTGAGACGATACCGTCACACAATACGTATAAATTTCGAGTCATGCACGACTTGGCCGAGTCATCCGAGTTAATCCTGAGTTGCCGAGTTATCATTACCGATAGGAGCGGAGCGACCCTGGGACCAAGGTGGGCACGTGCCCCCCTTAATTTTTTTTTTTTTGATATTAGATATATATTTTTTAAAATAAAATTTAGATATATTTAATTGTGTCTACCCTCAATTTTTTTTTACATTAGATATATATTTTTTAAAATAAAATTTAGACATATTTAATTGTGCCTACCTTATTATTGTGTTATTGTGATATATCGCTACTTAAATAATAATTAATTTTTAAATAATGTTATTGGAACTAATACATTGTGATATTAAATATAATAGTGAGTCTCTACATTTAATAACGTTTACTATCCATCTAATGATCACAAACCATTGTGCTCCTATCAATTAAATTTTGAATTAGATGCAACTACTATTATTCTTAAATTTTTAGACACATTTTTGGACATGTTCGAATAATTTTTAGACATATCACGGTTATTTTTTCTAAATTATAGGATTATTTTGTTATTGTATAGAAATGAGCACCATTATGTAATAAATTATAGGGTAATAAATGAAAGACTGTTATTACCATTTTGTATATAGATAAAAAAGTATTTATTGATATCATTGATTTGTAATTCTTTTAAATGATAAACAATAATCAGATTCAATTGTAAAATGATAATAATTAGTCTCATACGAAGTTTTAATTAATTTACTTTTATTTTTTGTTTGTTCATTCCATGCAAATTGTTTTTAAAATTTTTATGTTTAATGAATTTTTACGTATAATTATAGTAAAGATGAATTTATGAACTTTTGTGGTCAATTGAAAAAAAAAATGAAAAATGTTATTTAGATCTAATTTGATGACATAATTTAATGCACCATTTTGATTAAAAATAAACTCCATCTAACATTGAAATTTACAACTATAATAACAGTTATATTGAATTAAGTCTCTATAAAATTGATAAAAAAAAATTAAAATTTATTAATGTGCCCTTAAAGTATTTTTCTGGTTCCGCCCCTTATCACCGAATCGGCCTATACAGTTCTGCGACGCCGACCTGAATCTCTTGTCAATTTTAATATTTTTTTTAGGTCGTATCGCCAGATACGACGTCATGATACCGCGATCGATGTGTCTCAGCGACCTTGAACCATGAGAGTGACAGAGATTCCTTGTTTGAAAGCAACAGGAAAAACAAAAAAACTGTTGCATGTTGCTGCAAATATAACTTTATAATCTTGATATGAAATTGAGCTATGGTGTACGAAATTTAGTCTTGTAATTTTGGCACCATTCTCCAAATTTTGGCATGAATCACTTTTTCCTCTTTATGCAGCAGCCAGATAAAATCCATGTATGTACCTTCCATAAAAAAAAGAAGCTAAAATCCATGTAATCTATTTGTGATGTAAAATCGCTTCTTGGGAGTGTTAACCTAGCCAACCATGGCTTGCAATCTTCGTTGTGTGGTTAAAAATGGTGGCTGAATTCAAGGAAGGTTCTTATGATGTAGAATATATGCTAGTTTAATCACCAAGATTGAAATTGACCTTGATATATATATGTTTAAGTTGATAGAACAGAATGTATGCGATAAGTGAATGAATTGGTCTGTAAATAAAGGAAGCTCTGCCAAGTACTTCATTCAAGTCGGTATATGCAATTATGCATGCATGTTTGTGTATTGATTTGGCTGTCAAACTTTGGCATTTCAGACTGCCAAAGCTTTCGAGGAAAAGCTGAAGGTATCAGGGGTTCCTTATGAGGTATGCCTGTATCCGGAGGCTGGACATGCCTTTATGAACAAATCTCCTGAAGGTGTTAAGAGGAGAAAAGGTATGGGAATGGATGATGTGGATGACGCTGTGGTCGAGTTAGCATGGTCTCGCTTCCGTTCATGGATGAGTCGCTTCTTATCTTCTTAAGCAGTATGTATACTGCCATCACATGTTAGCTTGATATAATAAGATGGCATGGTAATTGGAGACACTGGATGGCTGCACTATGCTATGCTATTGTTATACTTTTAGTATGTGTGGATGCAACTTGGAAAATCACTATTTTGTGATGAGATCGCTGATATAAGCTTAATTTGATAGACTGGTAATCTTTCATCTTTTGCACATTGATTAATTACACTTTTTCCCATGAAATTCCCCCTGATTCCCCACTTTGGTCCTTAAGGTTCTTTTTTCCCCAGTTTCATTCTTCTACTGTCATCATATGTCAATTCAGTCTAATCTATCAAGTCCTTAAAGTTGCACAAGTTATGACGCCTGTTGATTTGTGCTTTCATTTAGATTAGATTTTGTGGGTAGCAACATTTTTTGCAAAGCTTGTAACTTTTGATTCAGTCATCTCTTAAAGACTTTCCAATTGAAGTTTAGGTGACAGCAATGCGGCCTTGTTTCCCTTATAATGAGAAGGAAAAAGCCGTGGGCACTGTCAAGAATCTGTGGGCATGGAGGGGAAAACTATGTATTTTAGGTACAATGTGGCAAAAGTTACTTAAAAAAAAAAATCAAATTTTCCATATTTTAGAGGGCTGAGGTCATGCTCATGCAGTTGGGCTTCTTAATTTCTGAAATTAGTCTTTTTGGTACAACTAAGTTGGCTAACCCAAGAAAAAAAAAGTCAGTTTTTTCTAATACAATACTATTTAATTAATCGTATTATTCTTGTCATTGAGTGGAAATCAAGTCTTTTTCCTGAATTGTCTTAGTCACTTGAAATTGGAAGTCATAGACTTTCATCCCTGCATGTCACATTAATCCTCAATCCTTAGGAGATAAGCAACAACAAAGTGCTTGAGTCTATCCAGAGCAATACCCGTTTCCATCATTCTTTTGTTGTTGTTTGTTTGTTTCCTGGTTTAACATTGTCAATTTGGGGTGTAGTGTTGTGGAAATTAGATGGCTAATGGATCGTGTAATGTTGAACATTTTTCTTGCATAAGCGAGAGGGACAAATCCAAAAATTAGGTGTGTTGGGAGGACGAACAAAGTCTAGGCCCGGCCTAGGCATAGACCGTTGTCTAGGGCTCCTAAATAAATACAAATATTTGGGGCCCTAAAACTTTTTTAAGATTATTGAAGAAAAAGTTAAAGAGTCCCTAATTTAAGCAATTTTGAATATAATATACGAATCAATGAGAAATTTTCATGAAACTAATGAGTTGGGGTATGACTTTAGTAGATTTTGGACAATAAATAGATGAATTATTCAGCCCCACAACTAGTCGACTCAAAGCTAGCTAAACGCGACCAAAATTCATTAAATACCACCTACATACAATATAAACTTAATTTTGCAGGATTATAAGTGAGATAGACATATGTTGAGGAAATTCTAACATGACACAATAGATGATTGTTTTTATATTACCTTTATTCTTTTAGTCTTATGTATTTTATATAAATACTAAAAAAATGAATTATCTTATCTTATCACACACTACTTTTGATTTATTACAAAAAAAAAAACCAATTACTTGATTAATCATCTCAAGCCAAAATTTTCAAAATCCAAACATGGATCGAAAACACATCCTAAAACCCAACGCTTTTATCTCCTTTATCTAAGATTGAAATTCACCCCAATACATTTTTTTCTTAATTTTAATTTTGAAGGATCGTCTATCATTTTTTTTCTAATTTTATTATCATGCATTTAAATTTTTTTTTTGGGGGGGTGGGGGAGAGGGAAAGAGGTCTTGAACCCTTGACTTCAAGAAAGCAAAATTTTTATAAGGTAAAGAATAAAATTAGATCAATATGTCTATCATTAATAAGTGAGCTGAGACCTACTTATATATGTAATGGGTCCCATTTAAAATACATATTATCAAAAAGGAAATTAATTTATATATTAAAAATGATCTCACTTCTTTTCTCCTCCAACCAAACACACCCCAATATTTTGTTTAGGGGTGCTTGGACATTTATTAAAAGGATTTTAAAGATAAAAAGACTGACTGCCATATCTTTACCTAATGTGAAGGCAAAAGCTGCATGACCTAGGGATACTAACTTGTATGAATTGAGAACTATTTGAGATTCTTTTAATGAAGCAGATGGTCCAACTGGTCCCTTAATTGGACTGCGGACAAGATTTAGAATTTGGTCCAATCTCCCTTTAACCAGAAAGCAAAATCAAATG